TGGTACTTTGCATTGCAGGCTTCCCAAATTCTCCAAACAGTTGAGAGAGAAAGGCCCAGATAGGGAAGAGAGGGAAAGGTTGAGAGCAGTACCAGTGAAAAAGAAAAACTAATGGAAGTCAAAAGGAGAAAAGGAGAAAGAGCAGAAGGAAAGTGCACTAAGTAAGAGAGGTTTAACCTTTGTTAGTTGGGTTCTTCTGCCAGTAATTCAAGAAAACATGCTTCTTTCATTTTAAAGAGAAAGAGATTATAAAACTATGCTTCCGTTTAATAAAGCAATAGATACCATAGGATTCTTGCTACAGCGCAGGAGATGAATCTATTGACTTTGAAATAAGCCTTTCTCAGCTTCCTGTTTTATTAATCAGAAAATGGATTTGGGATCTCTCTGCAAACAGTGTGCTCACCTTTTTCACTTTGGGCATTCAGTTCATGTGCACTTATCCTTGGCACTGCATTGGTAAAAGCACTTAATCCGTGGCCATGCTTACCTCTCTCTGCTCTGAAGCTCAGAGAGCGTGTTGTTTAATCAATAAATGAGAAAATGGAAAAGAGGAGAGATCAAAAGTTATTTCCAAATGGAACGTGCCGTCTTGCTCTTTTCTCTTTTTGCAGTGAGGAATTCTGAATATGCTCCTAAAGCAGAATAGAACTAGGGAAGGCGGTAGGGGGTGGGATGCACAGAAGCTGTACTGTGAGGGTTGGAAGGGACCCCCAAGGGTCATCTAGCCTACTGCTACAATGCAGAATTGATACGGTTTGACACCACTCTAACTGTCATGGCTTCATCCTATGGACTCGTAGTTTGTTGCGGCACCAGAGCACTCTGAAAGAGAAGTCTAAGCATCTCATGAAACTACAAATCTCAGAATTCCATAGCATTGAGCCATGGCAGTTAAAGCAGTGTCAAACTGCATCATTTCTGCTGTGTAGATGCAACCCTAGTTCCACCGCCTGCCAGTGAAGGACTCCACAGCAAAAGCAGCCCTAACAGGTGGCCCTTTAAATAATAATAATAATAATAATAATAATAATAATAATAATAATAATAATAATAATAACAACAACAACAACAACAACAACAACAACAACAACAACAACAACAACAACAACATTTAAAAACCTCCAGTGAAGGAGATTCCACTACATTCTGATATAGGCTGCATTCTCACTGCAGAAATAATCCAGGGTTGATACCACTTTAACTGCCATGGCTATGTGAATTGTGGTTTTGTGAGACTTGTAACCTTTGCTGTCAGAGAGTTCTGTTGCCACAACAAAGTACAAATCCCAGGATTCCGTAGCATTGAGCCATGGTAGTTAAAGTAGCATCAAACTGCATTATTTCTGCAGTGCAGATGCAGCCATGGTCTATTCTACTGACTAACAACTCTTATCAGGAAATTCTTCCTAAAATGTAGTTGGAATCTCTATCTTTTTCTCCTCCTCTCTCTCCCTTTTGGCAGTTTGACTCTGTTGGTTTGGGTCCCATCCTCTGGAGCAGCAGAAAATAAGCTCCATCTTTCACATGACAGCTCTTTAGATCTTTGAAGATTGGCTTTCCTATCATCTTGAAGTCTTCTCTTAGGTTAAACATAGCCTCGGCTGTTCCTCGTAGGACTTGTTTTCCAGATCCTTTACCATCTTGGTGACTCTCTGTTGGACATGTCCTTGTTTGTCAATAGTATTTCTTGAACTAGAATTCCATTATTATTTTTTGAGCCACCATGATGTAGTGGTTTGAGGGTTGGACTATGACTCTGGAGACCAGGGTTCGATCCGCAGCTCAGCCATGAAACCCAATGGGTGACCTTGGGCGAGTCACACTTTCTCAGGGAAAGGCAATGGCAAACATCCTCTGAACAAGTTTTGCCAAGAAAACCTATGATAGGTTTGCCTTAAGTCGGCAACAACTTGAAGGCACCCAACACAACACACAGTTTCATTTCTGGCCTCAGATCCACTGTATCCAAAGCTCCAGCTGGGAGTACCATTGCATATCTAGTCTAAAGAGTACTAACCCCACACAACAGGGGAGTATCAGTTGGTTTGGGGTACCTCCCAGGCTTGCAGACGTAGAAAAATATATCTTCTGGAAAACCCCATTTTCCTGCTGGAAATGCATAGTGGGGATAGGACAAAATGAAAATCTACACTGAATTCAAAGTCAAGCACCTGTTAGTAGAGTAACAGAGGATGCTGCAACATTGGGGAGGGATATATGTCAAAGGAGATACTGAGGCCCTTTTATGGTACGCAGTTATAGTTCAGTAAATTTTGTTACTGGTGGCAGTTGCGATAATGATCTGCAACTGTCTGTGCTCATGGAAAACTGCAAGGAGCTTAATACTCTTTTAAATTATTGTTGTGTGCCTTCAAGTCATTTCCAAATTATGACCACCCTAAGGCGACCCTTTCATGGGGTTTTCTTAGCAAGATTTCAGAGGAGGCTTGCCATTGCCTTCCCCCGAGGCTGAGAGCATGTG